TTAACAGAAAATATTCTTAATAATTAAACAGTATAATCATGAATGCCAACCAGTAATTCGCTCTCCAAATTCGCTCAGTATCTTTAATATTCTAGTATTTAAAACATTTTGAATATTATCTTGTAAAATTGCTAATATAGACAGACTGTACCATCTGATTTGAAAATTGGACTATATGAAATGTTAAGATAACACTCTTCAATAAATCCATCACGAGGTGCTTCTAAAAATTCATCTTTTTTAAAGAATCCTTTTCCAGTCGTTCTTACTCTAAAAATATTGCGAAAAGTTTAGACATCACGAATAAAAGTTTATTTAAGTGATTACTCAACCTACTGTTCTAAAAATGGAATAATGCTTTGGGAAAACATCTCTTATTGGGTTTCCTAATGCTATTAATTATAATAAGGGTGTTATTTTGGTAAAGTTGGTTATAAATACTGTATATAAGGATAATTTGTATTAACCGTATGGATGAAAATTTTGTAAAATTTTTGTATACGCTATAAACAAGTAGATTAGTTATTAAAGAAATTTGAATGACTAAATAGACAAAAGAAGTAAATTATTAATAAAAAACTAAATTCTGAAATAAATTACCATCATTATATAGAAGGATCCATTCTGGGGGGCTGAGAAAGAGACAGATGGGAAACATAGAATAGAGACACACACTCTACATTAACAAACATGATTTTATATATTTTATATATTATATTTTTTAAATAAACACAAAAAATATATATGCAATTGATTTTCTTTTAAAGAATCTCTAAATAACGAACTTTCGAATTTAGCAAACTAAAAAAATTTAAATTTTATACTAGTTCGTTATAGAATTGACTGTATATGTGTTTAAAGTACCATAGCTGTTTTGATAGAAGGTTCCCATAAGTCCATAGGGCCAAGTGAAGTCGATGACCAGTCAAAATTATAGACCATGCTTATCATGGTTGTTTCACTTTTGGTATCAACAGTACTTGTCGAGGGTAGTCGCATTTATTTGAAATAAAATAATGAATGACAAAAAAGCTATAAAAGAAAATTATGAGTTAACAAGCCATTTAAAACAATTATTAAAGATTAACTTGTTTTAGCAAAAAAAAAAAAGTTGCATACATGCATACGAAGTATGCAATAACTGCTGTATTTTATTGACGATGATGATTGGTTGGTAACCCAGCCGGTACGGCTGGGTTACCGAACGATCAGAAGAGAACATAAAATACAGCAGTTGGTGCATACGGAGCATGAAATAACGGTTTTATTTTATGCTTTACTATCTCAGATTTATGAAATAGTTCAATTATTTTATCATTTAAAAATACCATAAAATAATTGATTTATTTTATAAACTGATCATAGTGAAGTATTAAATAATTTGAAATATTCTTCAATATGCGGTTATGCTTCAATTAAAAGAGTAGTTTCGACTGACTTATATATTTGATTTTTTATCGCACATAAACTTTGCAAGTACCACATTTACCGCAGGCACGTACGTATGTAAAATTCTAGTAAATGATTTACGTAATCTTATGTAAGGCAAATGTGAACCAATTAATAATACTAATTTCTGAAATACGTAAAACCATATTCACTGATACAAAAAGACTTTGCCGTAAAAGAAATGAAAGAACCAGTTTGAGATGATAAAAACACCAAATATTTGTATGCAATGTAGTTTGCACAAATCCATATTCGAAATTCTAAAATGTTAACTTATTAATTGTATAATTAATAACTAGGTGCTTGAGTTGTTTAAAGGGAGTATGCTTAGTGATGTGCCACGTACAGTACTATACGTACGTACTGTATATAAAATTTTTGTTAAGAGGGACCCGATAATATGCAAATTGACCAATCATATTTGTACCAGCACGATCACGTTTCTTGTGTAACATGAAATGTAGATGTTCGCTATGCTGATTTTTGCAGAATCCTTTTTTGGTATAAGTAATGGTTTTCATTTTTCCAATTATAGCAATAATATCGACACAGTATCATGTGTCTATACATAATTCAAGTCATGCGGCCGATTATGTAAAGCTACTAGTACATAATTACAGAATTACGCACATTGATTATCATGGGAAAATTTTGTTGCAACATTGTTTAAATGATTAATGTCGTAACATAAGCATCATAATTCATAATTGATTATCTAAACCTGGGTTCATCCGTTTAAACGTTTGTGATTGGTCATCTTCAGTAAACGTGACCAGATTATAAGAAAAACAATACAGAAATTATCTTTACGCATTCATCATAATGATGTGTTGATAGTGACGACAAAGTTACAAAAAAATATATAACTCAAATATGTAAGCTTACCGATGTTCTATTATTAGTTATGACCACTTTGAATTGGGTTCGTACTTAACAATTTTTGATTAGCAGTATCCAAAAACGTGAACAAATTGTGGGAAAATTTTTGATCAGCCTAATGATTCTTATTTTAGAAAATTGTGATTATTGCAGCATTTGTGCATTTAAATAATTAATTAGTGAAAATCATAATTTGAAAAGAACTACACGCATGTGATATAATTATTGGATGCATTCCAGCGCTAATAGCACTGGATATTCAAACTTTATTAAAGAGTTGTAGCCAGTGTTTCGGCCTAAACCTCCCCAAAGTCCGAAATGTTTCACCCAGAGGAATTTTAGTTTCGCCCTATAAGTCCGAAACTTTCCGAAACTAGTTTCGCCCAATTTGATCTGCAAATGATCTGCAAAATCAGGTTTAGGCCGAAACACTGGTTGTAGCATACATCAGTGCGTTTGATATATAGTTGAAGAGATATATAGCATACATCAGTGCGTTTGATGTATAATTGACAGAGATATATAGCATACATCAGTGCGTTTGATGTATAATTGACAGAGATATATAGCATACATCAGTGCATTTGATGTATAATTGGCATTAGCCAGTGGTTTCCCACCCACATAAATGCAGGCTGGCTGTTAGCCAGAAGCTTTGTAGTCACATGATCTTAGCCACCTGCATAACGCAGGCCAGCTATAAAGAGATGTTTAAGCTGCTACAAAATGGCAGGATTCTACCAAGGGAGGGTGCAAATTTTGATTTGCCTCTTGAAAGGGCTGCCGTTGTGCTGCCCTATCACTCTTCCGTTTTATATCTTTATGTTATTGTCATATGTTTTTGCTAAATTTGGTTATATTAGTATTCGCACCATAAACTCCTAAATTATTAATTTCATTAAATCTATGCTTATCTTTCTCCTTGCATATACCAGATTCTCTTGTTAGAGCTGGGATCACCCATGTGATCGTCGCTTGCTAATGCATCACTGCTTAGCTGTCTTTTTGATCTGTTGACCTTAATGATGCCTGATGAATGATGAAATATTCATTATTGACGAATGATTAAACCATTCGTCAGGCAATTTCTAATTGATGAATTGACAATTGATGAAACCCCTGATGATTGACAAAACCTATGACGAATTGACAAAACCTATGATGAATTGACAAAACCTATAACGAATTGACGTAACTTATGATGAAACCTATTGAATAGTTATATTTTATACAAGATAGTGTTAATTACCACATTTATAAAAAGTTAAGGAGTGTTTTAATAATGATAATGATAAGAGCTAAAAAAAAAATGATATAGGCTGCATAACAAAATATATATATTAAGATATCCATTACATTATTATTATTATCTATCATGTTTTTATTTATTTACAAATAACAAATCAAAAAAGGAAATTAAATTTTGTAAATAAACAAAGTGCATAAAGATAGAAGCTAGGGTAAGGGCATTAGTGTTGGAGACTATAATGACAAATTGGTGCTCATTATACTGATATATGTAAAATTTTGTTTCTGTTATTTTTAATTAGTACACCAAGATCGATCTAAACATTGGTTTTCAAGTATTTTTGCGTCTCTTTCTTCTTTCGCACATGTTTGAAATCTATGATTTGGAATCAACAAAAATAAACGCATGCACAAATTTTGACTATTTCGGATCAACCTGACATAAAGACTATTCCAGATCGACCCAACATAAATGACTATCCCGGATCAACCCAACATATATATAAATGTGCGAAAGAAGAAAAATAAAAAAAGCCAATGAAACCTTATAATGAAATAACATTTTTTGAAACAATTTAAGTTCTAGTGTATTTAAAGATCATTATATAGAATCTTGTTGTTTAATTACTGGCTGAATCAGTTGCCAATGCTTCATCAATCGTTAGAGATTTTGTCAAGAGTTTTGTCAATACGTCATAGGTTTCGTCAATTTATTATAGGTTTCGTCAATTCGTCATAGGTTTCGTCAATCGTCAGGGGTTTCATCAATCATCAAGTTTTCATTATGACAAAACCATGATGACATTATTCGTCATCACAAAAATCATTTTGTTAGGCATTATTGGTTGACCTACTGTCAACTTGAACGAAAAGAACTACATGCATGTGATATAATTATTGGATGCATTCCAGCACTAATAGTGCTGGACATTCAAACTTTATTAAAGAGTTGTAGCATACATCAATGCATTTGATATATAGTTGAAGAGATATATAGCATACATCAGTGCGTTTGATATATAATTGACAGAGATATATAGTATACATCAGTGCGTTTGATGTATAATTGACAGAGATATATAGCATACATCAGTGCGTTTGATGTATAATTGGCATTAGCTGGTGGTTTCCCACCCATATAAATGCAGGCCGGCTATTAGCCAGAAGCTTTATAGTCACATGATCTTAGCCAGTGGTTTCCCATCTGCATAACGCATTAGAACAGTAGAATTCTGCCATTTCGGTCTAAATATGCGTGCTTGCATGCAGTTTGATTTGCCTTCAATTTTTTTTTTTTTGTGTTGGTAGTGCAGTTGCTATTGTATAACAATAGTGCTTAGAATGTGTGCAGTTATTTAATATGCTTGGCATAAAGTAATCTACTTGTAATTTGTTCTGATGGCGATTGGGTTTCAAAGATTAAAATGATGATCGTTAATCAGAATATATTTGCATTAGTTGAAATTGCCTTCGAAGGGTATGTTCAAATATATTGTGAAATTCATCTAATAACCATTTCCAGAGCTTTGAGCTAAAGGTTCTTGCAGTACTAATTTTGTAGTGCTTCAGGGATGGAAAGTATGGCTTGCTACCTTAGCACTTGGTAAGTATGATTTTGAGGTCGTTTATTAATTATCGGTGACTGATCCTGTAACTATAATAAAGTGACTTTCTTAGAATGTATGCCTTATTAGCTAAAAATGTCATGTTGACAGGCTTTCAATACATGTAGGTCAGTCATCTTTGTTGGGTCAATCATCTATATAGGGTATTCAACTGCCTTATGTTTGTTTAAGGTGTTGTGAATAATGCTATCTTCTCAAGTTTTAAGACGTGTTCTATGTAATTTAATTAACAGTTTCCTAAAAAGTGCTGTGAGTGCTCTGGTCTGAATAGCAAGTTGTCAGGATTGTTTGTACTTAGGTTTGTTTCAAATGCTGCGGTTGGTTTTGCATTAGTGTTTTTTTTTTTTTTTGAATTTGTTTAAATGTGTAATTGCTGTCTATAAATTTCAGACATTGCCTGGTTATTGGATCGTAGCATGTTTAATTTCATTCAATATGGTTTATTGTCTGTGGTATCTGAGACAGTTAAGGTAGATAGATATGGTGTGCAATTCTGGTTAAAGGTATGTTGTGAATTGGCAGGCATTCTTTGTTATTATCTATAGTCTGAATTCATTAATTATTCGTTTCTCCTATGACCAATTCTTAATATTTGCCAATATCTAAATGCAGTATGTACAATATCTGGTGAGTTTACGCCTAGCATTGCTGCTGCTCATTTGTCTGCTATGGTGTTCTGATTACATTTACTATAGTTCTGTCGTCATCTGAACCTTTAGTAGTTTAGGCATTATTTGTACAACCATGCATCTACTGACTTTGGTGTAAAAAACTAAAGTTTTGGTGCCAATACTGCTTCTGCTTCTATGTGATTTAAAGCTTATTTATACGTGAAATTTGATTAGTATATTAGTGTTTTTCTTATTGTTAAGACGCCAATTAATAGTTTTTTTTTTTTTTATAATTTAGCTTTTAGCATTTGCTCTCGCCTATTTGTAATTTGATGAATATTCTGGTGCGTCAAGATTTCAGTGCTGCCGCCCAGAGATTCTTGAACCTAGGCTCCTTATATATCTCAAATAGGTTTATATATCACATAAGGTCTGTATGTTTCGATAAGACACCCAAATAATTTCAATTTTATAGTTTTATTTCATTTCACTGTTATTTATTTACTATGTTTTTTTTTTTTTTTTTTTTCTTATATTAACTCTCAGTTCCATATATTCTTATCGCTCTTGAGTAATAAGTTTATTATATTGATTAATAAACACTATTATAACATAGCCTGGAGATGTTGATTGAGCTTTTCTACATTTTTTTAGCTAATCAATTAACAAATATGATTTGAGTGAGGTGGTAACTCAGCCAAGCACATTTATTTTATATACATCTGCCCAATAGTGCTGAATACCAACTTTATTACATTGCAAGTTAACTTAATACTTATGTGCCATTAGGTCTAATTCTGAGAGATTTAAATATGCACATGATTTTTCATATTTATTCATTTATGATAAGCTGCTACACGACTTCTCAATACCCAACTATAGGCAGGTTGATTTTATTTTCCTCTTATATTAACTCTTAGTTCCATATGTTCTTATCGCTCTTGAGTACACAGGTTGAAATCAAAAATCTCTTCCCTGTATCTTCAAATAATTGGCCTAGATAATAGCAGGACAATATTGTGATGGCTATGAACTGATATGATAGTGTATAAAAAAAGCTGATATGCAGAAGATTAGGGTAAATTATGATGCATATACAGAAATTAACATTCGCATATTGTTAAGATGATTTGTTAATTATGTAGAAGATATAAGGCCGATATGAACAAGATTTTTTAATGATAATTTGATGATTAAATAAATCATTAGCCAATATAGTGAAGGCTAATTTGTGAAAAAATTTTATTTATTTTATACGATATTGTACTAATATAAAGGATAAATATTCATGAATTTGGAATATTATTAACAAATTATAATATTGGTTTAAACGATATAATAATGTT